TTATGTCAATAGGAACGACTTCCTGTAAGTTCTGACTAAATCCTGTAAACCGGAGTGCTGTTGGAACAGAAGAGGTACATACATATGCCCATCAGTACATCAACGAAGCCCTTTTGCTCCACCATAAATATATCCATACAAACATATGTACATATGTACGAATGGATGAAGTTACGCGAAGCACGCTTGCATCATTTATACATATATTGCTTGGTAGCGGCAGAGCTGAAATGCGCAATGAGTTCGTTCATACATACGTGCATTCAAACATACATATATAAATATGTAGGTACTCGTACCCGTCATGCGTCGCTTTATTTCTTTTTTCCCCTTCCCTATACTACCTATATCTTCCTTCTCACTCATGTAACGTTTTCAGTTTTAAAAATTTCACTCTCCATTTTTGCGATGCCTCCGCCTAAGAAGTTTCACTTCAAAAACTTTTTTTTTGTATGTTGGCCGAAACTGGGCTCGAACCCTCGCCTTGCGGAATGGTAGTGTGCACCACTACACCACAGCGATCGCTTATTTAATGTTAATCATTAACCGCGATTAACTATTTATTCGTTAATCTTTTATCATTCATCAGATTAACATACGGTTGCCAGACGTACTGATTTTATCAGTACAGTACTGATTTTTCAACTCTTGTACTGATTTTATTCATTTCTTTAATCAGTACGCTAATGTCCTAATTTTTCAAAATTTGTACTGATCTGTACTGAATTTTCAATTCAAACAAAATACTTTAGGATTTTCTTCAGGTTTTTACATAACGTTGGAACTTCCTTAAAATGTAAGAGGAAAATAACTTATGGTGATCTCGTTTCTACCAAAAAATTTTGCATTTTGATTGCTCCTTTCTCTTTTCGATTCTAAATTGAAGGCAAAGGGTGAGAAAATTGTGTGTTCGTTTCTTAAAATGTCATAGTCTTGTAAAGCAAAAAAGCCTGTTTAAGCCGCCGCTTAAACTTAATTCAGCGGCCGTGCGCGCATCCTGTGGCCGCAGCGGTGTGAACTCCGAAAGATGATTAACGAGCGCGCACGGCCGCTTCCCATCGTCGTGCCAAATGAGCAGTGTTGCCAGAACTTTTTGGGCCGACCGGCTAGATTTGCAAAAAAAAGCGGCTAAAAACGGCTAAAAGGTTTTAGTGAAATTTCACATAGACTCTGGCAAAAAATGGCTAAAATGTTTTAGTGAAAATCCACATGCTTTATTTAAATAAATCGCAAGAAACGAAAGACTAGTTAACACCATTAATTTATATCGAGTGTATATTCCTCATCATCAAATGAATCACTATTGTNAGTGCTTTTGTTGCTGTAGTTGAACAAATACTTTTGGTTTAATTACTCTTTATGCATTTCCAACCGAAAAAAGTCAATTTTTTTAGTGTGGCAATATTTGTAGGGAGGCGTTGGCGTAATTCCTTTATTAAAGTGATAATAAAATAGCGACCATTTTCTCGAATTATTTTCTCGGCTTCGTGGTCAAAAGCGTTTGTGCTTACTTTTGTTTTTAAATACTCTTCAAAACTGTGATAAAACTGAGGAAATGGAGCAAGGTATGGTTCCAACGGGGAGCATATAGGATCAAATGTGTCCGCGCTAATAACCACTAGGGAGCATAGATGCGAAAGTAAAACATTGAGTTCATTAAAAATCTTCATTGGGTCTGCATTATTGCTTTCGAACAACTTGTTTACTTTTTGCACCTGAAAATTAGGCAAATAGTAAAATCGGCTAAAAACGGCTAACTTTTTTTTACAAACCGGCTAACAAATCGGCTGCCGGCTAGATCGAATTTTCTCCGGCTAGTTGCTATCAAAACCGGCTAAATCTAGCCGGAAAACGGCTAAAATGGCAACGCTGCAAATGAGCGACAAGTTAGTTCAGCCAAAAACGTCGGACATCGCGCACGCGCCCCCTTTTTTCTCAACAACGGAAGTTACAACAAATATTTTTAAAACCATTTTAATAATTTGGAATTGTAAAAAAACTAAGCCACACAAACAGAAAATTAAACGGTGGAAGTTATACCTTTGAAATTGAAACCAAAGCATTTATTTTGAGTGGAAATAAATTGTGTAAAGAGGGGAGTGCGAAGGCGACCAGTGGATTATTCATGGTCCTTCGCAGCCAACCGTGGCCCAGCTCCTAAGAAAAAAATTTTTAAAACTTATAAAAACTCAAAAAAAAACCCTACTCCCACGTCCGCAAAAAAAAACTAATTTAAAAACTATTAAAAGGTGGAAAAAACAAAAAAAAAATCATTAACTAAAGTGCATACAAGTGCAAGTAGTGTGTTAAAAGTTGTGCTACTTGAGTCTACAGATAAATTTCGAAAAAAAATTGCCTTTTTTGTATACATACAAAAAAACAATAACTGTGAAAAAATAAACATTTTTGGAAAAAAAAAATCCATACAAAACACATACAAGGCAATCAATAAAGTTTAGTGAACTACCACAAGCTGTGCCCCAAAGAAGCCCAACAACAACCGAAGGTTTTATTAAAGCGTCATCAGCAGCCATCCCCTAGCCAAACCGTCGGCCAGCATAAGGGCAACTTCATCAGTATCAGCGGCAACAACAACACCAGGCGCAAAAACATAAAGGAGCTCACTTACATACCTATACATACATAAATCAAGGAAAGTAGTAAGTAGGCAAATTTTTAATTTCCTTAAAAAATTTTAAATAACATAACTTTTATTTTCTTAACAGTTATATTGTATGCCAACGGGCATACATACGTGTGTACACATACATACATATATATATATATATAATTTAACAAAAGGCGTATTTTTTCTCGCCAAAAACGGTTTTACTAAAATTGCGGACATTTTCTTGCCGCCCAAAAATTCCACAACGGCAATTTGCCGCTATTAAAATTTTGGTAGAAAAATTCCGTTTTCCGGAAAGCGGTATAGCTCCACATACCGCCAAACTTATATATANTCTAAGGACACCTTCAATAATAATACCCAACTATTTATTTTACCATTTTTTAATAGTTAACATTGTTGGCGCGGCCTAGCAGCAAATGATATTTAAAGTTTTTGTAAATCCCAAGTATGTGGAAACCCTATGTATTGTACTAAATTATTGTAAAATCTGTATAAGTGGCAACGCTGTACCAATATTGCACAAATATGACAGTCATAATGTACGAAAGAAAATAGCGGGCATTCGTGGCTGGCATATTGGAGCAAGAAGGTTGCAATCACACAAATGTGTAAGTAGAAAAATTCAACATTGTTAACCTTGTAATATTCTTTATTATATTTGTCATTCAAATGTACTTCGAACAGGAAATAAAACACAATTCATCTCCATTTATTAATATACTACGCAAATAAGTTGAAGTTTATTTGGAGAGTTTGCGTGAGTCCAGCCACGGATCAACATCTTTTATTTCACATTTTTTTTGTGAAGTACATTTGTCGGAAAAGCAGAATAAGGCACGGTAATAATATTACGTAGCAAAAAAAACTGGCGGCGAATACATGTAAATTGGAGCACATAATTGAAAGCACGGCATTAAGTACGGTACGTGGTTTTTGGCAAACAACAAAAAAATCTGTGCAAGGAAATTGCGGCAACGGAATCATTCCAGACTTTTCGACAAGTATTCAGGTTGGCTAGCGGAATTTGAAGACAGGTGAGTGCTTTGGGGAAGATGTATGGGGTTGGTTTGTTAGTGTGTTAACTTGTGTGCACGAATAACGGAAACTGCTGATCATAAGAGCACCCAAAGTACAATAGCGGCTTGTTAATATATATGCACTGATGAACATTAGAGTGCGCCAAAAAACATACGGAGGGCCAAAAGAATAATCGCATATGCTGTGCCAAATTTACGCCTATTTTATTGTACTGTATCAAGCTTCGCAAATTATATGTATGCTACTACAAATGGAATGCGCATAGTCAAAAATAATTTATATTGCGAACGATTAACGTGCACCAAAAAGTATATGGCTTAATAGCGAATATTTTATGAGATTTATGGTATTGAAATAAAGAAATTTTTAGATTGTTTGTATGCGGAGTGGCAGTCAATCTGCGCCTCAACTAACTTTATTATATTTACGTTGTTAAAGCAGTTCTAAGGAACAGTAAGTCAATCATTGCCTTGTGAATTATATGTATGCAGATGCTGATCTGCGTCTCAATTTAATTTGATTTATTTGTCCCTGCGTCCCTTAAGAACACTAAGCCGAAAGTTTTCTGGCTATTGAATTATTGTGAGCGGATGTTATCGACACCAGTTGCCCCTGCGTCTTAAGTTATCGACCCAATAGTTGTTGGTTTGCCAATCATTAGGGCTGCTCGAATGCAAACAGGTTTGCGAATTATTGGTGCGCATGCAAAACGTTGACCCGGTGTATAAGCTACATTAACCCTGCGTGTCCTACCCGAAATATTAGTTGTCTGTAGACCTGCGTTACTTATAAATCTGCGTACCTTGCATAGCAAATTTGTGGTTTTCGGTATCGAATAGGGTTTAGGCCTCAGCAAGCACATTTAGCTTAGAATTGGTAATTGAATACGTAAAGACATGCCGAACTTGCGATCTGGAGGTAGGACCAGTGCAACCGAGGAGTGGTTGGACGACTTAAATACAACGATTCAGCAACAACCAGCGGAAACGGCCGAAGCTCAACCAATGACGATGGAGGCTAGACTCGACATGATGCAGCGGCAGATGCAAGACCTACAGGCGGAACTACGGCAGAGTCAGCAACAGCATGAATTGCTAGCAGCGGCTTCTAGACCACCAAGCAACGTGAATGTGGAAAGCGTAAACGGGTCATTGGTAGGGGTGTTAAGTGATCTACATCGAACATTGGCAGACAGCAGAGCAACGCATGGGCGCAAGTTATACGATTTGCCTGAATTCGATGGGCGGCCTGAGGACTGGCCCATGTTTAGGGAGGCGTTTACGATGACCACCGAAGAGTACCACTATAATGATAGGTAAAACATGATGCGCTTGCAAAAAGCCATTAAAGGTCGAGCAAGGGAGGTGGTTGAATGCTTACTAATTCATAGCGGCAACGTGTCTCGCGTTCTTAGCACCCTTGGGGATAGGTTCGGTAGGCCAGAGCAACTGGTGAAAAGCCAAATTGCAAAAATACAGGGTGTAGCTCCTATAGCGGAAAATCGTATCGATCAAATCGTCCCGTTCGCTACGAAAGTACAAAATTTATCATCATTTCTACAGTCTGCTAACTGCGATCATCACCTATCGAACCCCACGCTTATGGATGAACTACTATCGAAATTGCCGGTGCAAAGGCGGATTGACTGGGCCAGGCATGCGTTGACGATAGTACCGAGACCGAACATATGTCATTTCAGCGACTGGTTGCAGGAGCTTTCAAAGTTGGTGGCGAGTGCTATGGTAAACACTAATGCGGATTCCAGGCAGAGCGGGCGAGGCGAAAATCGTACGCGTTTCTTTCATACGCAGGATATAAACAGTGGCAATCGGGATCCTAGCGTATGTGTTCTTTGTAAAGGTAGACACAGTATAAATCGGTGCAAGCGGTTTCTTGATATGCAGGTGGGTCAGCGATGGCGTGTAGTGCGTCAAAATAAATTATGTTTCAATTGTTTGAAAAGCGACCATAGGAGCGGCGATTGCACCGAACAACACAGATGCGACGTGGATAGGTGTACGCGGAAGCAGCATGAACTACTACATTTTCGGGAGCAAGGAAGTACAGATGGTCAGCGTCAATTGGAAACTGCGACGCGGCAACAAGTCCTCACTAATACAATCGTCGACAAACCAAGTTCAAAATTATTGTACAAGATCCTGCCAGTGCGGTTGTACGCCAACGGTCGAGTCATAAGCACCTTTGCCCTCTTCGATGATGGTTCGGCAATCTCGATGATGAACAGCGAATTGGCTGGTCGTCTAGGTCTCAAAGGACAGAAGGAAAACTTAACGCTACAATGGTTTGGTGGTACCACAGTTACGGAGCAGTCAAGCAGGGTCGATGTGGAAATATCCGGAGTTGCAAAATACAACAAAAGGTTTTCGTTGCGGAACGTTAGAACCGTAGCCAATCTTCAACTGCCGGCGCAAACACTCCAGCGGTCAGAGCTGCATTACAGACATCGTCACTTGCCGATCAAGGAGTATGTTGGAGCGGTTCCAGAGCTATTGTTAGGGTTAGATAACGCGCATCTGAGTATTTCAAAGAAAACTGCTGACGATGGAGGGAATGGCTATTCGGTGACGCTCACGAAACTGGGATGGATCGTCTACGGAGGTAATGACCGAGACATTGGAGATAGGCGGCAGTTTGTAAACTTCGTTAAGACAGATGACAGTGCTGAGCGGCTTGAGCGTTTGGTGAGTGAGTACCTAATCAACGAAGATCTCGGAGTTCGCGATGCTGTAGAGGTAGTAGAAGCTGCAGATATTGCTAAAGCAAAAACGTTATTGGAAGAAACAACAGTAAGAAAGGGTTCACACTTTGAGACAGGTTTGCTTTGGAAGCACGCAGATGTAGCCCTACCAGATAGTCGAAAAATGGCAGAGAACCGGATGTTAGCCCTGGAAAAGAAGTTTAAGCGCGATGAAAATTTTAAGTCTGCATACGTCAAGGTAATAGAGGAATACGAAGCCAAAGGTTATGCGAGGAAGCTGACGCCAGAGGAGATCACGGCAGGAGGGAAGCGTAGCTGGTACCTACCACACTTTGGAGTTTGGAACGCGAACAAACCTGGAAAGATGCGACTTGTATTTGATGCTGCGGCCAAAGTCAACGGTGTGTCATTGAACTCGGCATTGTTAAGTGGGCCGGATCTAAACCAACCACTCGCAACTATTTTGTTGAAATTTCGGGAGAGGCCAGTTGGTGTATGCGCCGATATAGTGGAGATGTTCCATCAAGTCAAGATACGTTCGCAGGATCAAGCAGCACAACGCTTCATATGGAGAACAGACTCTAAGCAGCCATTTGTGGTATATGGCATGGACGTGATGACGTTCGGGGTTACTTGCTCACCGAGCTCGGCCCAGTTCGTAAAAAACAAAAATGCAGAGGAGTTTAGGGAACAATTTCCAGAAGCGGCGAATGCAATAATCAACAATCACTATGTCGACGACTTCGTGCACTGTTTCTCTACCGTCGACGAGGCAATCCGAACAACGAAGCAGGTAGCTTGGATTCATAAACAAAGAGGGTTTGACTTAAAGCGGTTTGTGTCCAACTCTGAACAGCTCATGAAACAAATGAATAACGAAGAAAAGCGTCCCGCTTGCTTGAATCTTGATAGAGATAATGTTGGTATTTTTCAGAAAGTCCTTGGGCTACATTGGGATACGCTTAACGACGATTTTAGATTTGTTCTCTCGTTTGCAAAGGTCGATCCAATTGTGCGGGCTGGGACAAGGAGACCCACAAAACGCGGACTACTCAGCGTCACAATGTCGGTGTTCGATCCGTTCGGAATTGCGGCGGAGTACACTATGGAAGCAAAGCTTCTGCTGCAGGCGACTTGGCGAGCTGGTATCGACTGGGATGAACCTATTCCAGATGAATTGCAAGAAGCATGGTTGAGATGGTTGACGGCGATCAAGCGTTTGGAAGAAGTAAGCGTGCCGCGGTGTTACGGATTAGGGTTCCATCAGTTACCAGTCGAATTACACGTATTTGCGGACGCGAGCGAGGTAGCTTATGCAGCGGTAGCGTACTGGAGGTTCCCAGAAGGTACGAGAAGTCCAAATCCCATATTCATCTCAGGAAAGGCCAAATGCGCACCATTGAAGCTTACATCAATCCCCCGACTGGAGCTGCAGACAGCAGTGTTGGCTAGACGTCTTCGGAAGAGCATCCTTCAATGTCATGGAAAAATCCCTAAAAGAGTCGTAATGTGGAGCGACTCGAAAACTGTCCTAGCTTGGGTGAAGTCTGACTATTGGCGCTATAAACCATACGTGGCGCATCGTGTTAACGAAATTTTAGAGGCTAGTGATGTAAACGAGTGGCGATGGGTTCCAAGCGCATTAAATCCAGCGGATTGGGGAACGCGTCCGAAGGCCGATAGAAGAAGCTCAACATGGATTAGTGGGCACCCGTTCTTGTCGCAAGACGAAAGCTTATGGCCGTCCAACGAGGTTACCCCGAACACGCAAGATGAGCTAAGAGCGAATTTTTCAGTTTTGACAGTAAATATCGACAATGCCATGTTCACCAAATTTTCATCATTGGTCCGTTTAACAAGAGTGGTAGGCTGGATATTGCGGTTCCAAAACAATTGCCGCAAAGACGCAAGCGAGAAGCGTTCTGGAGGGCTCAGTGCTTTGGAAATAAAGAGCGCGGAAATAGCTATAATCAGCTCGGTACAAAGACAAAGCTTCGCGGACGAATATTGTGCACTGATTGCAGAGAAACAGGTGGAACGCAGCAGCCCCTTGAGGACCCTAACACCGATGTTGGATGAAGAGGGAGTGATACGAGTAGGTGGGCGAATAGATGCAGCAGTAGCCATTCCACCGCATTCACGTAGACCAATAATCTTGCCTAAACGTCACCATGTTACTGCGCTTGTAGTGGATTATTACCACAAAATCTGGAAGCATCAAAACGAAAGTACAATAGTTGCAGAGATACGACGGCGATACTGGATCCCGCAGATCAGAACAGAGGTGCGACGCGCAATGAAAAAATGTCCAGTTTGTATAAAAGAAAAGGCTAAACCAAACCCTCCGCAAATGGGTCAACTTCCACCGGATAGACTTACACCTTTCGTAAGACCATTCACTTACGTAGGTCTTGACTACATGGGTCCGTTTACAGTCGCGATTGGCAGAAGAAGTGAGAAGCGTTGGATTGCGCTATTTACATGCCTTACTGTGCGGGCGGTACATCTGGAGCTCGCAAGGGACTTGACAACGGACACTTGTCTTATGTGTATACGAAATTTTATGAACCGCAGAGGAACGCCGGTGCGCATCAGATCGGACAACGGCACGAACTTCATTGGAGCTGATAAAGAGTTGAGGCGACAGAGAATCGACTTCGATAACGGCGTTATATCTAATGCGCTGGCAAACAAGAACATCGAGTGGGTTTTCAATTGCCCGTTGAATCCCCATGCTGGCGGCTGTTGGGAAAGACTCGTCCGTAGTGTGAAACGCGCCATGGGGCACGCTCTCAACAACGAAAACATCCAGGAGCACTGCCTTTATAGCCTAATGTGCGAAGCGGAGAATATTGTTAACGCAAGACCATTGACGCACATACCGTTGGACGAACACACTGACGAACCGCTAACCCCTAATCATTTTCTCCTAGGTACTCGCAATTCCGAGCAAACGCCACATCCGCAAGAGGAAAAGATGATTCCAACCCGAAAAATGTGGTACAAGGTCCAACAAATGCAGCACAGGTTTTGGCGGAAGTGGATAGATGAGTATTTGCCAGACCTAACGAGGCGAACAAAATGGTACGGAGTGCAGAATCCTCTAGCCGTAGGTGATGTCGTCCTCCTATGCGACACCAACGTACATCGCTCCAAGTGGCAGATGGGGCGAATCACACAAGTATTTCCAAGCAAAGACGGGCAAGTAAGAGCCGCGCTAGTGCAAACGAAGGACGGCGTTTACAAACGAGCAGCCTGTATACTGGCCAGGTTAGATTTGGTGAATCTGGGCAGATCCACGGAGGCGGGGATGTTGGCGCGGCCTAGCAGCAAATGATATTTAAAGTTTTTGTAAATCCCAAGTATGTGGAAACCCTATGTATTGTACTAAATTATTGTAAAATCTGTATAAGTGGCAACGCTGTACCAATATTGCACAAATATGACAGTCATAATGTACGAAAGAAAATAGCGGGCATTCGTGGCTGGCATATTGGAGCAAGAAGGTTGCAATCACACAAATGTGTAAGTAGAAAAATTCAACATTGTTAACCTCGTAATATTCTTTATTATATTTGTCATTCAAATGTACTTCGAACAGGAAATAAAACACAATTCATCTCCATTTATTAATATACTACGCAAATAAGTTGAAGTTTATTTGGAGAGTTTGCGTGAGTCCAGCCACGGATCAACACATAGCTTAGCCATATACTCGGCTTCATACGTAAATTTTTGTACATACCTACATACGTATAATTTTACATTCCACATATTCTGCACATTTGTACATACGTGCTAACAAAGAATATTGTCACACGAATATTATCCATAACGCGATAAGAAGTGAGTTCAAGATATCAGATACATGCAACCTAGTAGGGAAAGCTCCCGAATTGCATTGGTCTAGATACTTTTTCAGTATTTACATAATTATTTATATCACATTAAATATTTATACATACGTATATTTCACCACGTATATAACAGTGAAAAGTGTTTGTGATTTTGTTTCTCTTACAAGACATTTTTTTTTTTCTCAAATCCATATTCCGCGGATTTAATTGGGACGCTCCGTTTTCCACGTTAAAAAGTGCTGAACCAAAGATTAAAGCAAATACAACTTCACGTAATTTGCAAGAAACAAAAACACAAACACCGCCACAAGATCTTATAATTTTTTCTTGATTTTCTGTGGCACAAAGTGCAATTTTTCCGTTTGACACAAATTTTCTTTTTTTTTGCGAACGATACCTGGGTGGTACTCAGCTATTTTTAATTAAATCTTTTACTAATTTATATACGTCTGAGCTTCTACGACATTCAAAATGCCACTTGGACACAGTCCACCAAAAATGTCTGAAATCGAGACAAGGTCAAAAAATACTTCACAAGAAGCCACCGGTGGTAAGAGGGAACCCTCACCGCGCCGAAAATCCAAAACTTTTGACCCATCCGCTCAAAAGTTTATAGCGGAAAGTGACAGTATCATGAGATACTGTGCAAAATTCAGTGATGCGCCAATCCAAGACCACACTTAATCATATCTTATGATAAAAGACAAATCACTAGATGATTGTTGGGCACGGCTTCAGTCCGCCTATGATTTGGTTTTTTCAAAGCCAGATGACAGCCTACCCGAAAACTTTAAGAATTCGGTAGAAGGCAAGTACTTCACTTGCCTTGAATTATATGAGGTGACCAAAGCTAAAATTGCCGATCAACTGTCGTTGATTAGAGCAATCGCCGCACCGAGTCCACCACCCCGCGTGGAACACACCTCGGCAGAGGAAAACGTTTTCCTCCAAGTCCCACCTTGTGACACGGAGACATTTTACGGCGGTTACGAAGAATGGCCCGCTTTTCGTGACATGTTCACAGCGGTGTACATCAACCACCCGAAGCTCTCCCGTGCTCAAAAATTGTATCACCTCCGATACAAAACCCAAGGTAAAGCTGGCTTCATCGTCAAGCAATATCCGCTCAGCGACGATAACTTCGAGCTGGCCTGGGAAGCTTTACGGTCACGATACGAAAACAAACGTATCCTGGTTGACAACCAAATTAAAATTTTGATGACTTTGCCGACTATTCAATCCGAGAATAGCGAGCAACTTCAAAGGCTGCAAACATCAATTAACAACTGTCTGTCAGTTCTTAATTCCCAAGACGTCCAGACAGACAGTTGGGATCCCATATTGGTGTACATATGCTCATCCAAATTGCCCGAAACTACACTGTCACTTTGGGAACAATCTCTCTCTTCTCGAAGAGATTTACCCTCATGGTCACAAATGGACGATTTTCTTACTTCAAGATACGAAGTAGTCGAAAGACTTAACCGGCTTCATCCAAACCAAAATAAACAAACACCAGTCGCTCATCAAAATGCTGCGCAAAACAGGTCCTTTAACAGGACTCAAACCTTTGTGGCAGAACCTAAGCGGGAACCAACTTGCTCTTACTGCAAGTCTCCTCATCCCATTAGAGTCTGCCCACAATTTAAGCGAATTTCGGTACCAAACCGAGTACAATTCGCAAACCAAACCAAGCTGTGCAAAAACTGCCTTGGTAATACCCATAGCACTAATGAGTGTCCGAGCAAGTGGTCATGTACACATTGCCAACAACGGCATCACTCCCTGCTGCACATGAATCCCAAACCACAATCTCGACACTCCAGTGCGCGAGCGAATGAAACCGCCGCACAACACACTACTGCCCAGTCGACACCTCCCGCTCGACAAGCGCAGTCAAGCTCCGATTCCAGCGAGCAACCGTGCTGTTCCAAACAAGAACAAATACAATCATTGCACACCGACAATGATAGCAAAATTCTCCTTCCAACTGCCATAGTCGCAGTTGAACACGAGGGTGAATTGTTTCAACTTAGAGCCCTGATTGATCAAGGCTCACAAAGAACTTTCATTTCCTCGAAAGTTCAAAAACGGTTGAAACTACCATTCGAACATTCCAAGTTCGAAATTTCCGGCATGGGTGGACATGTAGTACAAAGCTCCTCAAAGCAAAGGATAAACATACAGGCTATCGTGTTACCTCAGCTCACGAGGCACATGCCTACATTCACCATTAGCCGTGAAAACTGGCAGCGATTCAAGATCCTTGAACTTGCTGACCCAAGCTGTCACATACCAGCTCAAACTGACATGGTAATCGGCAGCGATATACTTCCACAAATCCTGCTGGAAGGTATACAAAATATTTGCGACACTATACTTGCGCAAAAAACAATATTTGGCTGGATTCTCAGTGGTCCAATAACCGAAAATGTGGTGTCATTCTCGACACAAGTAGAAGAGTGCTCGAATGCAACTCTCAGCTCTCTGCTTCGAAAGTTTTGGGAAGAAGAGGAGATTCCACAACCTCCACAAATTT